TACCCATCTCCAAATATAATGAAACTGTAAGGACTGGAAATTAATCAAGAGTCATGTGTGAAAGAGCAAATCATGTAAATAAATATGTGTAGGTTGTATTAACTGAATAAGAAATGCCATACTTATTTATACATGCTGCTTAAAGTTTATATCAACAAGCTGAAACATTCACTAACATTTGTTTTCTACTGCCCACAAGCTTTGGACAAGTCAGTCACAGTCAGCATGTCTTCATGAGAGGAAAGCTTGTCAAACTTGATTCCCTTCTAGGACAGGGTAATCCACCTAGGTGATACAGGAAAGCCAGTAAAACAATTTTTTTTTAAAGGCAAAGCTTTTGGATACTCTCTCTCACAGGATCCTTCTGGACAAAATATCTAGCACACATCAGAACAATAGTGTTATATGATGGGTGGGCAACTGGCTCATGGATCAGGCACAAAGGGTTACAAGTGAATGGGGTCACATCAGATTGGCAGCCTGTCACTAGTGGGGTTCCACAGGGAATCTTCCTTGGCCCTTTGCTCTTCAACATCGTCATTAATGACCTGGAAGCAGGACTGGGAGGAATACTAACTAAATTTATTGAAAATACTGAATTGGGAGGAGCTGTTGACACTCTCAAGGGTAGAGAGGCCCTGCAGAGAGACCTCAACAAATTAAAGGACTGCGCAATCACCAACTATGAAGTTTAATAAGGGCAAATGCTGGATTCTGCACCTGGGATGGGGCAGCCCTGGCTGTGTCTATGAGAGGCTGGAGAGCAGCACTATGGAAAGGGGTCTGGGAGGCCTGGTTGATGGAAAGATAAACATGAGCCAGCAGTGCCCTGGCAGCCAGGCGGACGAACCCTGTCCTGGAAGGGGCATCAGACCCAGCATGGCCAGCCAGGCAAGGGAGGGGATTGTCCTGCTCTGCTCTGCACTGGGAAGGCCCCACCTCAAGTCCTGGCTACAGTTTTGGTCACCACAATATGAAAAAGGCATTAAGCTATTGGGTAGTGCTTTGCTGAAAAATACCTTGGGGTCTTGCTAAACAACAATTTAAATACAAACAAGCAATGTCCTCGCTGCAAAGGGGGACAAGAACATCCCGGGCTGTTCAAGAAGCAGTGTAGTCAGCAGGTCAAGGAAACTGATCATTCGCTTCCATTTGGCACTAATACGATGACATCTTGAGCAGTCTGTACAGTTCTGTGTTCAGCAGAGGAAAGACAATGACAGACTGGAGTGGGTCCATGGAATAAGTCCCCAGGGTAGACAGGGTCTGGAGCATACGATGAAGGAAAAGAGGGTGAGAGCTGGATTTCTTCTTTCTGAAGACAACGTTCTGGGGGGTCTTACATCTGCAGCAGCCTGTTGGGAGTGTGGAGTAAAGGCAGAACCACTCTTCCCAGATGCACACAAGACCAGAACTAGAGGTAACAGACCCAACTTGTAATGCAGAACATTCTAGATAAATATATGGTTGGGAGAAAAAGTGATGAAAGAGTGGAACCTGCCCAGGGAAGGTGTTGATCTCCATTCTTGCAGATATTCCGAACTTGACTGGACACAACTCAGTACAACCTGCTCTAGCACTACTCCTGCTCTCTAGAAGTAGGAGTGGAGACCTCCAGAAGTCCCTTCCATCCAGCACAGTTCTGTGATTGATAGGTGCCAGTGTGTGAGTTAATTGCCCACTGTGGGTCACTCTAGGAAAAATATGAAGCATTCAAGATGCTTCATATGATTTTCTTCAGGCATTTACTACATTCAACTATGCAAGTTGAAACTCAGTCTAAGAGAGCCTGGTCTCTTCTCTGGGATGACAAGCTGAATACATGCCTACCCTTCATCAAGTGAATCTTATTCAGGATGTCTAACAAGAGTTAAAAATCTAAAGAGGATTACTTCTGTTTCTGAGGGCAAAGGAAATTAGTGAAAGAATTTACTTTATGCTTTATTCTGAGTCATAAGAGGAAAGTGGTTGAGAATTTGAAGACAGAAGACAATGTGAGTAAAAATTATCACAAAAGAGTTTCACAAAAGAGGAAAGAACGGAATGAGTAAAAGCAGATGAATAATGTCAAAGGACTTTAAAAGACCTTGTTTCTTTGAACTTTGGGATTGATAGGTAAGGGCTAGGAAGGGGGAGGGAAAGTAAAGTTCAAGGGAACTGGCAGGTTTTTAGAAGGCAGGATTCTACAGACATGGCAGCAGACTGTTCCACTGAAGAAGAAAAACACAAAATACCACAAGTACTTCAGTGTCTCTGCAATTACTTGAAAATCAGGAATTCTATGACTAATGACAACAAGGTAATGACACTGGTAAAGGAAAAATTTAAAAAGTAACACTAACAGCTAGTTCAATGAGTGACAACTACAATGGGTATTAAAATTCAAGTTTTTCAGTGGTATAGAAATAAGGGAAAGGTGTGGAAAATTAGGGTGCTGTTACTTTGTGGACAACGAGACGAAAGCTGGTCATGATGAAGAGGATGAACACCAGCCTTTCTTGGATTCAGTTTTCACAAACAGGCTAATTGTGATGGGGTGCTTGGAACAGTTTAAGTTAACTTGAGAGAGAAGAGTACAAACTAGAATGGGGGACAGAGATGAAATAATGGAGGGAAGCTGGACACAGTGAAATCACTGGGGTCTCTTGAAAATGTCCTTTGTGCACCTCAGATGAGACCATCCCTGAACTTTAGCTTTTAAGAACGTGTGAAGGATGAGGAAGGGCAAATTTATACGTGAAAATGAGGAAGCCTGTCGGCTTAACTTTGATACATGGTGAAATGCTCCTGAAAATTATTAATCAATTTGTAAACACCTAGAGGGTAATAAGCTGATGGAATAACAGCCAGTGTGGGTTTATTAGGAAGAAAAATGTGGCACACCTTTCTGATTTCCTTTTTGAGTAGAATAAGAGGTGTAGGAGATAGAGAAATGGTAGATATGTCTTTAGTATGGCTTTTGGCAGTGTTGTGGAAGGCTATGTAGCCTTTTTACAAGTAAATAGGTTAAAAAATAATCTAGGTGAAATTACTGTGAGGCAGGTGAAGGACTCCTTGAAGTACTGTGTCCGAGGAAGTTATTGTTCACTTGGCAGATGGGGAGGCAGCCTCAAGTGCAGTGCTGCTGTTGTTACATTCTGCCCCAGCTTGGTGCCATTCATGTTTTTCATTAGTGTCTCCAACAATGGGCTGGAGAGAGCAGTGTGCAAGGGACTAAAGGCTCCAGTAGGCTTTGGATATTTTGGAGGTCAGGTTTAGAGTCCCGAGCAGTCTTCATAAAATGCAAAAATGATTAATATTAATAAGATGGGAATTCAACAAATATAAGTAAGGCCTTCAGTGAAATGTTTTCCCCAGGAAGGAAAAACAAATGTGTGTATGCAGGCAAGGGATATCTGAGTAAATAACAATGAGGGAGCATGTGATGTTGGGATATCACAAACTGAATATGAGTCATGCTATGATATGGCTGGCAGAGAAAATGGAGAAGAAACCAGACTCTAATCTGAGTCTTGTGTGTAAGCCATCCTTCAGTCTTTTCTGCTAGCTGTCTGTCACTCTGCTGGGATAGTGTCCAGAGCTGGCTTCACACCATGGAACAGTATAGACAAACTGGAGAATGCCAGAAAAAGAGCAGTAGGAGTGAGCAGAGATTTAGAAAAGACCAGTGAGAAAATACTGAAAGAGTTGGGTCCAGGATGCAAGGACAAAGATGGAAAGAGAGACAATCTCTGAAGTATATTTTAAAGGCTTTTTAATATTAAATCATAGGGTGTTTTGCCATACTATCTCCACCTAACCAAAGGTAAGAAGAAAAGGAATAAGTTCAGTTTGCACCTAAGGAGGTTTAGTTTGGGTATTAGAAATGTAGCATAAGCATATTATAATGGGGTAACTGGGGGAACTGGAGTACAGTGGTAGGTGTGAGGAATAAGTAAGAATCACCTGTGTGGGTATTTGTCTTTGCCTTGAGTGAACAGGTAGACTAGATGAGTCTTTTGAAGTCCATTTCAGTTCTCTCTTGTGGTTCAGTCCACTAAATGAATATACAGATTAAAAATGTAAAACAAGAAGAAAACTGATTTAAACCAAGGGTTCCTTCATATTAATTTAAACTGTGATTATACTGAGCATTTCAAATATTCCTGGTTTAAGTTAATCCGTTATGTTGCAGTGTTAGTATCGTGTGTTTATGGAGGTCTTTTAATATGCCTTTTTATTTATTAAAAAATTACTCCTTGGTATAATAATCTCTTTGAGTATGAATTATACAAGTAATGATGAAGAGACTACAATCTTCTTAAAATTGTTTTCAGGTATTTGGTGAATGCCCTAGTATTTCAGGAAATTGGCTGAATTCATACTGTAAAAACTAGACATCCTGTGAGACAGTATGTCCAAATAAATGCCAATTTCTTAAACATGTTACACTTGCATAAAGAAGTATCTGCCCTCTAAAAATGAGCTACTCTCCAAACACACAGCTCATCCAGACAGCAGCCTTATATATCTTACTTTATCCAGTGTTGTATTGGTGACATTAATTCAATGAGGAGACCAAAACCAGAAGCATGATAGTTCTTTTTCACGTTTGATTTTCTTCTCTATGTATTTAATATAAAGATATTTATGTTAAGATAATTATGCCTTGGTTTTTTGTTTTCTGCTGCTGAGTGATATCACATAGAAGAATTATTTTTTTCCCTTTCCCTGAAAAATGGAACATTCAACCACAGATGGCAATTTTTTACATTAGATAGAGAATCTTGCTGTCTGTTATTGCAAGTGATTTATTAGTACATAGGTCACACTGAGGACCAGTGACTAGCCAACAGACACAGAAATCACACCACACAATGCCTGCAGAGTCAAATTATGTTTGATGTTTAATATTAACCTGAACTGTAAAAGAAGACTTTAACAAAAATCCTCAAAAAAGGGAAGCCCAGAAGAAAACAGAAACCAGAGAATTTCTGGGATAAATTTTCTTCTTACAGGAAATCTATGCTGAGCAGAGTGTCCAAAGCAAGGGAAGAGAGCTGCTTTTTGGCCTTCTGCATTCTGCTGCGCCCAGCTGTCCTGCTTCCTCTGTCTCTCTTTCTGCACATATGTGCCACCCACCTAAGGAAACAAATAGAAGTGACTGGTCCCAGTGTGGCACTTCAGTCCTTCAAGTTGATTCTGGCCAGGAAGATTTCTTGTGTATAATAATAGTTTATTCACACCCCCAAAACCTGTGCTTCTCTCAGTGTGGGGGGTTCATGCTCACCTGCTGGCACAGGAGCCCTGTCATCCACTGAGCTCCTTTTAGCCAGATGCCAAATGCCTTTCATCTGGGAAGAAAGGATCCTTAACAGCCACAGCTAAGGATGTGTCTGACTCGGATAATGTATTAACAGCAGGGATGAAAGAGTTAATTCATTTTTCCATCCATAATTTTTTCTCTGTAGAACTGATTTGACACAGTCTAGCAGGGTGCTGTTACTGAAAAATTGAAGCACCAGGTGTGATTAAGTAAGACCACACGTTTCATTCCCTCTTTAATTCCACATCATCCTTCAGCAGCTGTACCCTTTGCTTTCTGATAGTTGGAGAACACATTGCTTTTACAGCAGGCAGCTTGCTGCTTTGGTAGCCTGCACCATTGGGCTGTTATGTATCAAATCTATTTGTGCACACAAATTATTTATTGTTTGATGGACCCAACTTATTAATCTGTTTATTTCTCAAGTAGAGAATATAGAGTGCATCTGGGTAAAGGAGACAAACCTAGCTTGGCTCCTTGGTATTTCCTGAAGTTCATCCATGCAGCAGAACATGTGTCATTCCACTGCAAAGAGAGTTAAAAGTTAGAGTGTAAAGACAGTGCTGGACTTGAGGTCATTCTTCTGTTCCTGTGAATCATAGCTCTATAGGATCTGATGAAGTCACCTGCTTTGCTGAGATTCTGTGGCCTGCCACTGACACAAGGAGACTGAATCACTGCTGTCCTGGCCACTGCAGGGCAGTAGTACTAGCACAGTGCAGAGATTGTATCCTTGTCCCATTGTTGCTGCATCAGAAAGGTGCCACTGAGGCCATAATAGCTATAAGTGGTTATAACATGATGCCACAAAAAGAAAACAATCAGGTTTTTAACTGTTCTTTGCTTTAGAATAGTGTTCCTATGTAAAACTGAATTGGATCTTTAGAATATTCCTTGTAGTTATTCCAGGCAATGTTTCCACTTGTAAGCTTTGGCTGGTCTTCCTTGTCAGGCAAGAGCAGCTCAAAACAAAAACATGTGTCTTTTAATTTTTTTCATTCCTCAAAGGAATAGGGGTTTTTCTGTAATACTGTGACACTGTTGCCTGCAGTAAAAAAAGGTTGTGCAGAAGTGACAGTGGCCTGGTCTGAGATGTTCTGGTGCAGCTCTGCCATAACTAATCCAAAGAGCAGAAGTCTGTGCTCTGTGTGCATCAGTTGAATCTGATATATTGTTGTCCTGAGGTGTCAGCTCCAAGGCATACAAGGTTTGGGTGTTTCTGAAGAGGCCTGCTGCTGTAGTTTTGGCTCCGTGTTCTCTTCCTGCATCTCTGGGGCTGCATTCCATTTATTTCCTGCTGCACTCAGTGGTGATATTTATACAACTATGCAACTGTGGTGTTCCTGATGCAATGTGCTGACCCTTCTCAGCAATTCTGAGCAGTATTTGACTGTTGCCTATTTATAAATGCGACTGTGTGGCAGTCTTTTCTGTCCTCCAGCACCCTTAGCCCCCTCTGTAAACCAGACAGTTTTGCTTTCTGAGGACTTGTCAAAAATTCATCTATCACAATTAAACAGATTAATTAAATAAGTAAAAGGGTACCTGAATACTATAGCTCTTTTATTCCAAAGTAAACAGGGTTTTGTATGCTGTAGCATTATTCCAACATGAAAGAAAAAAGATGCCAGGGGACAGGGACAGAAGAAGTTTCTAGAAGGAGGTTCTAGAGATGCATCTGGGCCTGTGTTTCAGTATAAATAATACCTGTGGACACTTGTCGCTTCTTAAGTTTGGTCTTGGAAGCAGCACTGGGACCAGCTCATTTGATGTCTCCTCTTTTGAAAACTGAGCTCTGCGGATAAAATTGGCTGCCTGTAAATGCAAGGGTGTCCTTAAAAGTGAGCTGGCATTTATGCAAACTTACTTCAGTCATGCAGGAGAAGATACTCTTTAATCTGTGAGAGAACAAAAATTTAAACTCCATTGAACTGCAAAGGAATTTTTTTTTTCCTTTTCATTAGCAGACCAGTCTTCATGGAGATGGAGAAAGCTGCTGTTTCCCTGTGTGATAGAGCATCACTGTTTCATCCTGAGTTGTCTAAGATTTACTGGTGTTAACACAAACATTATTAGTTCTTCACTGTGTATTCACATATATACAAAGGAAGTGTTTAAAAAGGTGGAATTATATTCAAGTAATTGTTTCTTGTTATGCTGAGGAATGTTTAAAATTACATTTTGAGGTCACAGTGAAGGGTTTAGGGGATCTTTCAGATTGTGAAAGTTACCCAGTAACGTCAAGCTAAAGTATTTAAAAATACAGTGTTGACCCTCTTCAGAAATAATGAGGTTTAAAAGGAACCCACATTTTGCTCCGGATGTTTTGGGAGGTGGAGTCTATAGCCTATTCTTGGTTTCAGGCTGAAGCATTAAACCTGTTATAAACCAAGGTAAACATTTTCATGCCATTCCCTGTTTTGCAGAGCTGTTGCTTTAAGGCAAATGCTAGATTAACACTGGGAAAGTTGGCAGTAGCCGTTGCTCCTCCTGCCAATGCAAAGCAAGGTGTTATTTTCCCTACTGCTTTCCTCATATCCCTTCTTTTCTTTAGGGGAATGAACTTCTTTCTCTACCTCAAAGAGTCAAATGCTTTTGCCATCAGTGCTGCTTTTCCATCAAAGTCCTTTAATGCAGCTCTTTTCCTCTCCACATGCAAAGCAGCCTTCACTTACACCTGCTCTGTGATAGGATCCTTCTCCCTGAGGAGTGCACAACATCTGTTTTGTTTCCTCCATGGAGAAAGAGAGAGACACTCTCAAGAAATTCTCCTTTCCTGCTTGCTAACAAAAGAGATTTTTAAAGCATTTGGTGTTTGTGGAAAGAGGAAAAGCCAGTAGAGTACTAGACAGGAAAAAACAGCCATGGAAAAATAAATTGAACAGAATTTGAGCTATAATTAAAGGTCTTAAAAAGAAGTCAAACTGCCAAGCCAGGGAAAAAATGTGTATCTTGAAATGAAGTACCTTTGTGGAAGGATGTGCTTGGGATTATGGTGTAGGACCGCTGTTTGGGACATCTTGGCTCTAAATCTGCTCTGAACTTCTTGGGTCATACCAGACCAGAAATCTAACCCTTATTTGCTTTGATGGTCCATATGTAAAATGTGGTGGTATTGTGAGTTTTGGTGTTTTGTAGAGCTTGAAAGCACAAGGAAATGAAGTTTCCTAAATAGAAGCAGCTGTGCCATTGCAGTGATGGCAGTTTTTTGTGTATGATACTAAAAAGAGTTCATATCCTTTAAAGTATGGGAAGCATTGTGAAATGGTGTAACTGCATTCCTGGGGAATCGGTTTTTTGTTAGCATAGTGGAACCTGCAGCTTCAGTAAGGGGGCTACTTGAGAATGAGTTAAAAAGTGTAAAGTGAAAAAGAGCTTCATAGAATGACCCTGTGCTCTGCCTGCTGACGCCCTCCATGCAGTTGCACAGATTTTGAAAGCAGCAGATTTTGTTGCATGCAATCCACTTGCTAGTTAGAAGCCAAACCTGAAAGCAAAGACTGAGCTGAGCTGCATGTGGTCTGGATGGGGGAAGATTTCACATCTCCATGGGTGCTTCTGCTGTGGCACATATTAAGACGCTGTGATCAGTGGGAGATGGGGCACTCTGGCTGCTGCCTGGAAAATCCATATGTGCAGCTTTAAGCTATTAAATAAGCATTGTAACCTACCAAAGCTCCCATTTCTGATATGGTTAGAGCTGGTGTCATACAGATGACTACTTCTATTACATCATTCATAAATTCTTAAACCCATGCAAACAAATTCTAATATTCTTATCTTTCAGAGTTGACCCACAACTCCTTAAACTCTCTTTTATGTTTACAGTTGAATAATTCAGCCACTGACAACATTACCAATTTGAACCCAGCACATCTGGATTTTTTAAGACTAAGGAAAAGTCTGTAATGTGCTGCAACTTCCTCCTGCAGTACCAATCAAAATAAACCAAAGATACTTTTTTTTTACTATTGATATCAAAACTGCCTCCAAATAGTATGGAAATATGTTTGGAGGAAAAGTAAGATGTGGCATCTTGGTTTAACCTTTTTATAGCTACATTAGTAAAAATGTCTGTTACTTGGTGGTTATTGTGTGTTTGAAGGGCCAGTAAAAATAACATTTTCAGAGGTGTCAAAGTTGGAGATAGTTATTAGTAGTGTTTCAGGACCCTCTTAATTCACCAAGCATATTTTTTGCAGATCAGTTAGAATATTCCATGTTTAAAAATTCATCTACCAATATCACAGCTTCAAAGCAATCTTGCAACAGATTAGGTATTTGTCCTAATCTGATGAATTTGGGACATATACCCAATATTTAAAATAGTCAGGCTTCTAGGTCCATTTGCTGTAACATTTCTATGGTGTAACATTCAGGCCGCTGGTGGCTGTTCTGTCGTCTCTTCAATGCTCCTTGTGATTGCTGAATGCATTTCCCAAACCTGCCATTTTTCCTTCGTTAGTTGTGTTTGTTACTAGAGGAAGCCACCAGATTTCCACCATCACTATCTACATGCCCATCACTGAAGACAGTATAGTATGTGGATAAGGAGCAAAGAACTGGGGAGCAGAAACACTTGAAAAAAAGAAACTAATAAGCAAAGAAACTCTGGCTGCTGGAGAGAGAAGATTGGTTGAGTTGTAGCAGAAGTAATGAAGTGTGAAATGCGCTGTTCCCAACCAGTACGCCATGCTGCTTTAATTTACAGAATATATAATTATACAACATTAACATTCTGGTACATCAGTCTTTGACAAAAATTGAAATGAAAACAGCAAAATGCCTGAGTCTATTTTTAAGACAATTATTGTAATAATGGTGGATAAGACTACAAACTTAAATAATTTTCCTGATTTTAAGATTATGTCTTTAAGATTCTTCAGGTTTTGGGCCCTGGTAAATCTTTGCATACTGTTGCAAACCACTTAGTTTAGTAAACCTTTAGTGATTATTTGTGGAAGTCCTTCCAGCATACATTGAACAGCCGACAAGAAGACGTGTTTTAAAAATCAGATTAATTTCTATCTTTCTAGTACTCAATAATGATTTATACTAAACCCGTAGACAGCCTAGAGGATACAGAGTACATATGCACAGACCTGTCTGGGTCAAGAGATGACCTTTCTGAGTTGCTGTCTCCAGAGGAAGGAGCATTGTTTAGTCACTGAGATGCTAACAAGGCTGTGCTGAGAGACAAACTAATTTTGGTAGCTTCATGCAGAAAAAAAAGCCCCTCTGAAACTTAATGACCTTCTGTAGGGGAAAAAGGCTTTAGGCATGAAGATACAAGCAGAAATCAACAAGGCTGTCATCTGGGAGAGAATACAGAAAAAGAAACAACTGGAATACACTGTATGTTCTAGTTAACTGAAAGTTATTATTTTGACATAGGAGCACAGTTGACAGAGTGCTCCTGTTTCTGTGTACAGAAAGGTACAAAAACATCACCGAATTTAAAACACAGCTCTTGATCCTTCAAAATAAATAAAGCAGGATTTTTATTAATGAATGCCCAATGTCTAGATGTGCTGCATACACGTCATCAAAGGCATTGAATCAATACAGCACTAAATTCTCAGAATCATGAAGTAGTGTATTATATGCAGGAGGAACCTGGGGAGCATAGTTAGAGGCTACACTGCATTTGGGGAAGAGGGATCCATTTCTGACAGGAACAACAAGATACTCCTTTTACTGAGT